TTCATGAATTAGAGTACTTAGAAGAGTAGGAAATGAAACGTCACTGATCAGCTGATTCTCAATGATATCCGCATTGATAATAAAAATTGTAATATTCTACATATAGCTGCGTTAATTTTGGTATGCAAATACGTCATCCATGAAGTTCTTCCCCGTTATGACCTTTGGTGGCGAAAACAATAGGCGGTCACAATTTTCTCGTCTATTTTGGCAAATGCCGCTCTCGGCGATTTGGTTGTCACAATGTAGGAAGTCTACACGGGTAGGAAATAAAGCTTGTAGACTATAAAGGGTCTAATTATAGCGTGGATATCCAATAGCTTCTGCTTTTCGGATCCTATTATCATTGTTTTATTCACCGAACAAAGGTTTCTGCTCCTTTCACTTTAAGGAAGTGTTTTTTTCATCCACAGGGAACCAACCACAAAGACACTTTTTTCAGCTAGTTTTTTGGCCCATGTTTCGTCACAAACCTACAGTCATCCATCGAGTCTATTTATCCTTCGACATTAAGAGATATAGGCACATCCATGGTCTAGACTTCTCAAATTTTCAGGGATTAAGACTGAGCGAAAATTTCTTTTCCAGATTTTCTTGTTAGTCCGTGAAAATTTTTCGTCATTTTGTGAATATTGTTGGTTTCATTCGATAATATAGTTTCGGAACGCAAAATTGACGAACTGAAATTCAACTTCACGTCCTCCATTGACATTAAAATGAACTAATAACCGCTCGTAACTTATTCTTATGATGCTAAATAGTTTAAGTATTCCATAAATTGTCCTGTCACAGAAAAATTGGTCTCCTGAATAATGCACCCTCGTGCAGTAAGATCCGTGTTCTCTTATATGGCCCCGTGTATACACGTCATTTAACCTGAATTCCTATTTTGCCTACACCTTTAAATGAAGGAGCATCCATTGTTGGTCATTCAGCACGTTCCCAATATGAAATTTGGGTTCCTTGACTTGCCGATTTTTTTTTTTTTTTTGAAAAGAAATCGATGGTGAAACTATTAAACCACTTATCTCGGTTTGCGTCGTTGCAAATTTCCTAATACATTTAATTTTTCTTAAAAATATCTGGCCACCGTTATTGAAAAAAAATGATTTCAAATGTCCATGCTCTTTCAAAGATACTGTCTAAAAATTGTGGGCGAAAATGTTCAGTATTATATTTTTTAAAAAAAAAAACAATAAAAAATAAACTAGAGACAGAAATGATACACCTCAATCGAAATACTATTTTTCGTAGTTTCACAGTTAATACAAGACATTAAGTATTATGTATGTAATTGAACTGTAATACTTAGGCTCAGCTTCTAATGGCGAGGTGTTATCAGAATTGCCGCGAGCGTCTGGGAGTAGTCCAACAAACTTCCTACATAGATTGATGCAGTCAAAGTTAAGATCCACGAATACTCCACGTAATTTAGTTTTTCTTCCTCCATCCACTTGCATTGTCATTTTTTAACAGTTCTGATTGGAGCGCTGATATTCCCCTAAAAATTTGTACGTGGACCTTATTGAAAAGGATGTGAGGTACACTGGTTCAAGCCTACGAAGAAACTTTCGAAATATTTCTGAAAACTATCAAATCGCCATAATGAGCGAAAGAATGAGCATCGTATGAACTTTTAAACTCTCGCAAATTATCTTCTATAGAATAAGTAATATTGAACACAATTATGCATATTTTCAGTTGAAATGTTTTTAGCTAGATTCAATTGCAAAGGAAAGCTTCTGTATAATTCAATGAAAACGTCCAACTCAAGTTTATTTTTTCGAAATCACGTGTTCTGCCGGGAGAAATTTTACAGAATTAGAAGGCGCACATTTCTTTAGGACTAAAGGAGACTACCTATTGTATTTTAAAATACTTTCTGCTGCAGTTGGATCGATTACGCACAAGAAACTTTATAAAATAGCTTTGACGGTCAGCTAGTTTTTTTTTTTTTTCTTTAATGAGTTTTGAAATCACTATCCTCGAGAAAACCAACTCCAGAAAAAATAAAAGCATGTGGAAAAGTCCGAGGATATGAGAGTATGCCGAAAATGTAAATCACGATGTCGACCTTTTTTTTCGTCTTTTTTTTTTTCGTCTTTTTTTTTCGTCTTTTTTTTCTCGTCATTTCATTCATTGTTTGAAGAGGCAGATGGTGTAGCGGAGAGGAAGGGGTCACAGGAACGAACACCTGTTGTCGGTGAGCATCTGATCAATCACTCCTTTGAGGATGTCTCAAGTCGTTGGACGAAAACCATCCGCTCGACAAAAAAAAATTAGTCTCATCGAAATGAATTTTTAATTAAGTTCGATCCATAATTTAACGGTCTCTAACCTACTTTTGACTTACTTGCTGTCTACTTAGAAAAAAAAGCAATGAATGTACGATTCATGACCCACTCTTTCAGTTACCAAATTTCTTCCAGTTGATATAGGTGATGTCTCTAAAGTTTTGACTACATTTTTAAATGTTACTTGAATATTCTCAATGTAATTGCAATTTTGTCTAATATTGTTATACTTAAGGGGTCTTCAGGATCTTTATTACAAACCGTATCAATATTTTTTAAGCTGTGAAAATTTAGAATTGACTGCGGAGCTTATATCGGAAGTACATTTTGCAATAAAGAATGGCTGTTTCTGTCTCATTTTTTGGCGACCTTTGCACGAGACCTAATGGCAAATATTTGGTCTCCGAAATAAGCCCGAAAAAATGGCTCTTTATTGAAAAATTTTGTCCAAATTATTTAGTTACCAAATGAGTCTCATTCGGATAACATTTTGCAATAGGGAACTATTATTTCTGACTCATCCAACTGGCACCTATCTGCATAATGAAACTAATGGAATTTATATTGATTCTAGAATGAGCCAGCAATAGTAGTTCCTTACTGCAAAATGAGATCCATGTATTCAGCAACATGAAGTGTGTTGGTCCATTATGCGGAAATTTTGCGTTTTGAGTCATATACACGCCAAATTCTGAGTAGGAGACATCCAAGAATTTGACAGGTAAGAAAATATTGATTTTACTTTTTTCAATTTTTTTCAAATGCTCTTCGTGCTAACTGTGTTCGAAAAACTTGACCTTCATGAATGTGGAAACTTTAAAAGCTCATAACTCCGTCTATACAAACTTTTAAGGTTCTAAAAGTGGTTCCATCGGTTTCCTCAACAAATTTTCTTTCATAAAAACCCACTGAGATTGAATTTGTGACCAAAAAAAAAAAAAAAACAAAAAAAACAAAACCGGCAATTTTAGTCAAACATTTCATGACCGACCTCTCTGATTTACTCGTTCCACCGTGTGGCGGTCACTCTACCTGGCCACCATGCGCCTTGCCCCCGGCAATAAAATACCTCGATGATTTTTCGAAAACTGAAAGGTTTTATCCAAATATTTCTATTAGTTCATTTATTAATATATTGTGAAAATCGACCCAGTATGCAGAAATATCTTAGACTGGAAATGGAATAATTAAGTGACGTACATGGAGAAAAAAACTGCGTGTGTGAGACCCGAAGTTCAGGTCATATTATGGATCTCTGAAATTTTCGGATTGAGCATCCGAACACTTAAGGTCCAGCTGCTGAGGTTTAGATCACACATCTTAAATTTCAGTTCTTACATCGGAAGTACTTCGGTTTTCACATCCGAAAAACTTCGGTTCTCACATCTGAAGTACTTCAGATGTAAGAACTGACGTTTCAGATGTGTGATCCACACCTCGACAGCTAGACCTAAAGTGTTCAGATGCTCAATCCGAAAACTTCAGAGATCCATATGACCTAAACTTCGGGTCCCACGCACGAGGTTTTTTTCTCCGTGTACCTATTACAGCGACAATGATTTATTTCGATTTCAGGAATAAATCCCACTTACTAGCAACAACTGCAAGAAAATCGAGATTGGCCTTGGGAATTTTGCAAAATGGCAACCGAAGTAGTTTTAGGTAAGTTTTTTTTTTCATACTTCAAGTCTCAATAATTAGAGATTTTGCCAAGGTTCAGGAAATGGCAAGCTTGGTCTTTTTGAATATCAAATTACCAGCCACATGCAATATGGGGTACTATACAAAAAGATCATTGATATTTATGAGGAGTGATTTTTCCATTGAGAATAGGGAGATAACATTCAGTTAATATTCATCAAGTATAATTATTTTACAAGACTTCCTCTTTTCACGCACTGGAAAAAAATACTCTTGGCTCCAAAGTCTAGACTCTTAAAAAATTCAACAAGAAAAAATGCTCTCGATTCAATCAAACTTCCCCTTGAATCGAGAGCCCAGCCTCTAATTTAAGCGGATTTAAGTTTTGTTCAAGCCAATATTCGATTGAATCAAGAGTATTTTTCTTGTCAAATTTTTTAAGAGTCTGGATCCAAGAGACTTTTATTCCTGGGTGGGCGTCTTTGATTTATATTTTCAACTGATGAGCTGAGGGCTCATGAGTTTTTCGACATACACTGCGGTCTAACAGAAACCGATTCCCATGTATTGAGTGCATCCCATGTTTGAGAACATTATCCCGACCGGATTAACAATATAGAATTACTTACCTTAATTTGGGCGAAACATCAGAATTTGAGTTTTCGGTTGCATGTGCAATCTGTCATCTCAAAGGAACAAGTTTTGATCAATTTAAATTATCTTTGTATTAATTGAAGGGAAAAAATGTATTATGTCCCAACAACTCTCAGTGTGCAAGGTGACAGCCACATACTAAAGAACTTTACCTCAAAACTTCATTTTTATATATTCACAATTTTTTTCATGCATCTTCCAATTCACTGTCGAGAGGAAACCTTGATTTCAGATCAGACCGTTGACTCATGGTTTTTAATGGGCAGCTTTTGGTCACCACTTTTAATAGTCGTCTGCTACCTAATCTTTGTGCTCAAACTTGGCCCGGATTATATGAAACATAGGCGAGCTTTTGAACTCAAATATGTATTGATTTTTTACAATTTAGCGCAAGTTCTTTATAATACATTCATGTTTAGTATGGTAAGTACAGACAAGTATTAATAGCAGTATAACTTTATATCGACAAGCACTATATATTTAATGAATATTTACAGCTCGGGCCAAAAAGAATTCTTGGTCGGGTCCTTTTCGGGAGGCGGCGCACAGTGGATCGAATCAATAGGAGAGGTCGGACAAAATTTGAAAACTTTAAACGCTCATAACTCCATTCATACAAAATTTTGAGGCTCTAAAAGTGGCTTAATTGGTTTTCTGGTGAAATTTTCTGCTTGAAACACCCCTTGAAATGTAAAATGTGACGAGATAAACATCTAAATTTGCAATTTTAGTCCAAAATTTCATGTCCGGCCTCTCTGATTGACTCGATCCACTGTGCGGCGGAGGGATAGCGGCCATTAAACATTTCTTTTTCCCCCTGACAAATAATGAGCAGCTTAAAGAACACATTTTCATTGAATGCAGAAACTCTCAACACTTTTAAAAGACCAGTCGCGGCTAAATTCCGATCAAGAATTGAAGCCAATATTTAAAATATAAATTAATTCCTCGTAAAGCACTTTGAATTCTTTCCCCTACAATGCTGCTTTTTCGGACTACGAATGGCACGATGTACGAGTGTATTATTACGGAAGCAACATTAAATGCATGAATAAATAAGGAACGGAAGATTTTTTATGTTACCTTTTCAAAAGATCGTGTTTTATGAACCAATATAGGTCTCCATCCGGTGAAACAATAAGCCCCTACTCCTAGCAGGGGCTGTGATTTCCCTTCTCATCAATAGCTAAAATGGTATTGGAAATTTCTGAAAATTTAAAGTTATCTAACCGCCTCAATCGGTTTGTTTCAGCACTTCTCCTCAATCTGTGTATTTTATGAAATGTTGTTTCATTCTTGTGTGCCACTAAATCCTCAAGAAAGCTACTTATCATCCACGGTTGGTTATATTCCTACTTACGGTAAAATAAAACAACACTTGAAGTTAATTCTCTCAAACGTCATGCGTGATTTTTCAAACAAAAAGCTTCGAAAATGGACCACTCTTTTGAAATGCTCTTCGGATATTTTAATAGAAACTGAAGATTCCGCTAACATCCTGATAATACTTTTAGTGTAGCTGGTGGGTATCTAGAAGAAAGGAAAAAAATAAAAGGAAAAGAGATGTATTTTGTTTGTTGCTTTCGGTCCTTACCATTTTATAATAGAAAAGAAACAATACCTAGAATACCATCATAATTTTCTTTGTAAGCCTAAAAAAAAAAAAAAAAAAATATATCAAAATTTACAAGATGAAATTTTGTAAGTTTTCCAAAAAAAATACATTACGTCAGAAAATCGGCAACGTCTAAATCCAGTACACTAATAGTTTTTACTCTCTCTCTCTCCCTCCCTTCTTCCCTCCCTCCCTCTCCCCTCCCTCTCTTGAGCCACAAATTGCCACCAAAACCACTATTTTGTAATGATGCCAAAAATAGCTGTATGAATTACTATGTCACTTATCCATTTAATTTTTTCAGATACTCAAAGTAGGCTGGCACTTCATGTTTTCCAAATTTTTAGATTTCTTCGATACGGTAAGTAGAACTAAGAAAAGGTTTCATACTTTATAACTTCACGACTTACACAAAGACACAAAGCGCTTAGTCATCCCATATTTCAAGGTGATAAAACTTTAAAAGTTTTTTTGTTTTTGTTTTTTAAATGTAAAAATGTTAAAAAATGTAAAATCAGCCTATTGTATGTTGAGGTAAATTTAACTTAAAACCCAGACACAATTTGAAAAATAGGGAAACAAGTTGATCTTTGGATTTTAAGGAACAAGCAGAATCAGACTCCCAGGTCGTAGTTTTACAGCCAAGTTACAACGAATAGACAGAACCAGTAAATTAAGACTATTCAGACTGCTTATTCCAACTGCCGTGATGATTTCTTCTATGTATGAGAAGCGCTACTTTATCGATGGTGTTTTGACATTTTTAAACTTACTTAATTTTTTCGAAAGAAAAATAATCTTACTATCTTTTTCATGCTTTATTTAGAAATTATTTTAAAATAGCTCTTACGCAATTGTACGAATTCAAAACGGTTGGTTTTTTACCCAAGGAAAAAAAAATTGCAACGTCTCAGAATTCATGTACTGTTTTGCCCTAATCTCATGCATTGATATCTCTTGCAATTGTGTTTTAAGGTATGTATCCAGCAGGAAATTTACTTGCCAAATGCAACTTAAGCACAAACTCTAATTCTCATTAATTTGTTGCAGGTGTTTTTTGTCCTTCGAAAAAAACAGTCGCAAGTTTCGTTTCTTCATGTTTACCACCATGCAAATATGGCTTTGGTCGTGTGGGCTTACATAAAGTATTCGAGAGGTAAGATAGGGCAGATTTATGACTAACATTCATTTCCGAGAAGCTACAGAAACGTTACTTCATTGTATTCCCGGATGTGTATCGATGTTCAACTATTTAAGGATAGAGCGCTGCAAAGAGAGAAGGCTAGATAAGGTGCAGGTGCTTTAATGTAGCGTTCAGTTTTTTTTTTTGTTTTTTTTTGTTTTTTTTGTTTTTTTTGCAAAGAAAAGAATAAATAAAGAAACCGTAAAATCTAACTAAGTAGACAGTTGCAGTTTTAAAGCAAACTCTCGAGTTCAAATGTGTGTCTTTTGATCTTAAAGTTATATACAACATTCAGAGTCATTTTGAAAATTCTCTTGCTCTAGTTGTAAGTATGCGCAAGTTTTCCGCAGAAGAGCAACCATGAGGCATCAATATGACCATTTTAAAGGCTTTCATTCCTAAATTTCCATTTTTTACTGCCCTTGTAGGCTCATACGGACCTCTGGTTACGATATTAAATACATTTATTCATGCTGTTATGTATGGTTACTATCTACTCGCTGCACTTGGACCTCAAGTTCAGAAAAATCTATGGTGGAAACAGCATTTGACGAGAATTCAGTTGGTACGTATATAGATAATTTGTATACTCAATACAGGAACGGGTACTTTGCGCTTAAGAATAACATCGGCAATGCGATCATGCAACTATTCGAACTCAGCGGCTATCCGGAATGCATATTCAAAAATATGAAGGCGCACCAAATGGACACACATTTCTCAATTATGAACTACTGTTCTGTTCGATTTGTTTGATCATGCGAGCAGGCCATAGGCGTGGCATGCTTTGCGATATATCGATTGATCTGTCATTTCGACCTATGGAAAAGGACCGATGAACATGGTGTTCGCAACGAACACCTGGACGGATTTATGCTAAAAGGAACTGCAGACGTGTGGGAGAGATGGGGTGTGCTCGTTTGAGCTGCATCAGAAACAATGTAAAAGTGGGCGTGATTCCCTTTGGTAAAATGGAAAAGTGGAATTTTACACCAAATCAAAGGAGCCAAGTGCCAAAATATGCTAACTCATGAGCTCAAGAGAAAAGGGAGTTTTGAAACACTGCAATCAAGTGTTTTCAAGTTTCACTATTTATGCACATAAATGTACAAAATTATGAAATAATTAGGGTTTTTTTGTCATCTTCCTATAAATTGCGACTAGAAATACGAAACTTTTGGACCTGAGTTTAGTAGGACATCATTTTAGGGTCGACTGGTCAAAGGATACTGAGAGCAAGCCAAGTTGTTTTTATAAAAACTTCTAACGTATACCTCCGGATGCTTAGGTGAAATGTATATACAGTATACGTTAAAAAATATACTGCCTTTAAAATTCTAATGTTTTAATGTCATTTCAGGCTCAATTTATTATTGTCATGTCGTACCTACTGGGACTACTTATCTTCAACTGTGAACTCTCCAAAGCTGAGGCAACTTTTATGTTCCTCGATTGTTCGTCATTCTTTTTCCTGTTCCTCAATTTTTACCGCAAAGCTTACCTTAAATCTGCCAAAAATATTGCAACGCCGTCCCCACCTGTACATGTTCAGCCACTTGACGAAAATAAAATGAAATGATCCTTTAAAAAAAATGCTTTGTTTTTACCACATTATATACATAAATTGTCCACAATTCTTACACACGTGCATACTGATCGTGAAAAACCCAGAACATTCAGCTCAATTGCGGTGTTTCAAAATTTGTTCTTCTCTTTTATTTTCGAAAAATCCCTAAATATTTGTGTTTAAAAGTTTTATAGCATACCAGTATTTTTAGTCAGCCTACCTTCAAAAATTAAACAACAAATGGAAATCCGTCGCAGCGCAAATTGAAATACGATCAGGCCTTATAGTTTTTACCATCGATACACTGTAGAACACAATGCATTTCAATAAGTTCTTCCTCGCAGAAAATTGATACCATGTTCCCTCCTGTATGAAGAAATTCTTTCCCATGCGCACTATCGGACGTCGAAAATTGACATTTGAATACTTCTTATGATGAGAATGGAGGTTTTGGGCACATCCTATTGTCAATTATTATGACCTCTAACGTCTTCATTTTGCATACGATGACTTTTTTACAAGTTGATACTTTAATAGTGATTATGGCCACTTTTGAGTCATATATTTCGAAATTTCGTCATTTTTTTAAGTATCCCGAACTGCTAGATCCCTCGCTCTAGAAATCAGGAGAATGCGGGCGAAACGAGCGAGCCAAATGTCTCATTACTATGTAAGAGGCTTGACAAGGATTTTATTTGATACGCTCAACTGCAACTCAGTACGACGGTCCAATCTTTTTCACTGGTTTCAGTAAAAGTGTCTTTTGAAGTGCACGACTTGAACTCATCGCAACCCAGTCGTTTCCGTGACATTAGTTACACCTAGAACTGATCTTAGGCCGTTGCGCTTTCTACGACTACGTTCTTTTCGATGAGGAGTGCACACACTGAATAAGATGCCCGCAGTATCTGAAAAGTTAGGAAAAAACAATTGGTTTGAATTGTGCATAAATCGACTTGACTTTCTATAGTCAGTTTCTGTTTTTAATAGAATAGAGCCCTTGTTTATTGCTATTCTCTAATTGTTATTCCGATGAACTGAGAAAATCTCGTACATTAAATTTCATTTCTCGAGAACTGATCTAAAACTGGAAAGTAGAAATCCCAAACATTATTGTCATCAGCCAAGGCCTCGTTGGTTTTTCGTATAGGAATTTGTCTCAATTTTAGTCTTGATTTTAGGAAAATATTTGTTATCATGGGATCTGGCGGGCCCGTGATCTTGGCTTGAAAATTTATGCAAAAATATGAATTATCCAAGTTTTACATGATCTATCAGTAATTATGCACTACTAACCTGCACCATCAGATGGATGCCGACGACAATGAACCTTTTGAAAAGTGTGAGACGAGCTGGCTTTTGGGCCCTCAAGTGCATGATTCGAATCAGTTGTTTGCTCCTCTGAGGGAAATCGTACCACTTTACGGAATACAGCTTAGAACTTACTTTTTGACTCTGATAAATAAAAATGAGAGTGCGCGAATCATTATATAGAACAATGATGCAACCTAACGTTTTATCTCGTGTTATTCGCTATTACTAAATAAGTACGCAAAAAAGAGTTTCCGCACATCGGACTCAAAACCATATCCAAATTCTAGCCAATTGAGTTTGAGAATACTTATTTATTGAAATGTGGTATTTACGCGGAGAAAGAGGCCATATCTCTTATTTAAGGCAATTTGTCAAGGAAGTGATTTTTCTCAAATTAGTCGAAAAAATATTTTTTCAATTATTCACGAAAAGTACTCTCTAGTATCTCAAAGAGGAAATTTCGAGACTTAGTTAATTTTTGTGCCGATGAAAGGGATGTATAATTTTATTTTGTGCCCCGGTTGTATTAGTTTATTTTGAATACATTTCCCCCGAAAACCCTTTTCTTGTACCTTACTTCCATATCATCGTTAACTTACTTTCACACTCCCAAGTGTTTATTTCTCCAAAAATTTTGTGGTGTACTCTATGCAATGGTATCAGTAACTCAATCTTGAATTTTTCCGGCACTTTAGTCCTTGTTCCGTTTTCTCGAATAGTGCCAGTAAAATAGTTGAGGGAGAGACTTCCACTATACGGCTTTGTTGTGAAGGTCATGACACTGATGTGTCTTAATAAGATTTTCTGGCTATTTAAACTGTGCATGATAAACCACCAGAACAATACTACTTTTCATAATATTAGTGCTCAAATTATGTTAAATAGTCGTTCAAAGGAGTAAAAATAATGAATATTTTTTTCAAGAATCATGCACTTGAATTTTGCACAAACATGAAAGTACACGTTTGAACCCTTTATACTCTATACTTATATATTGGTCGGAAGCACTCACATTTTGAATGAACATCTCTCCAAAGTAGCAGAACATGAAGACGTCTAACATGGCAAAAATTATTTGAGATACAATGAAAGGAATCAGCTTTGGGTTGCTTATCTATGAGCACAAAAAGAATACCATTAGCACTTAATTACTGAACAACAAAAGATGAAGCAATTCATTAAGGGTGATCCAGATTTCAATGCAAGAATTTTAGGTATCAAATATTTTGGTTTTGAATAAGACTTTTTTGTCGGGTTACATTTATTTCATAGCCTCAGACTCATTTTGAGATGAATTTTTGCATCCATCCTTGAATGTAACTTTTTCCTGGTAAGCTCATGAATATTTTCTTCCAGTTTTTCAAATAATTTTGCTCGCAATTCTACCAAAAAATTCTGAAAATTTTAAGAGAAAATATTCAAAACTTTCCTAAAAAAATGAACATTTTATCGAAGGAAATTTGGCTACTCTCGAATGTTCATACGAAGTTCTTCCTTGCAGCGTAAGAGAGCAAACAAAGAGACGTAGTTCACCCAAGTGCAAACTTTCTTTGACAGGGACCTTTTATTAATTTATTTTATGACTTAAGTTTACATAATTGTAACCATCTACTTGCAATGACTAACTTAATAGAGTGCCTCTAAAAATACATACCATAGAAGAGGTGAGCATCACTGTCGATGCTATATAAATTGAGCAGAAAGTACCGCGAACCAGCAGCATCGCTCGGCAGAAAACTGAGTACTCATGACAAAATCTAGAAGTAGGATATATGGGAATCTTACAAAACGTGCACGGAGAATAAGGGCTGTCCACCAATCTCGCGAAGTCTCGCAGAAAAGCAAATAAACCGCATCTTAAAGAATATATCAAGGACGAAACTACCGGATACGAACCTCGATTGCGTTGTCAGATTACTTAATTTTTAAAAAGTAATACTTCTTGACATTTTTGTGCGAAATTTTTAGGAAAATCAAACAAAATTTTACAGAAAAATAATGATCAGATCCTCTTTAAAAAGTAAGTTGTGACAAGAGGTTTGCAACGTCGTAAAAAAGAGACATGTAGACATCGACGGTGAAAGTCGGCAATCACATAACTCGTTTGCGGTGTCTGAAAATCCCCGCAACTATGTTATTTTTTTAAAGGAGAACAAATGGACATGATTCCTTGCAGTTTTTGCAGAATTTTCCTCGCACATAGAAGAAAAATCACGGCAGTTTTAAGGAATTACCGTTGAGTAGTTTTCCGTTTAAAGAATAAAGTATGACAGGAAGTCTGCGACGTCGCCAATCGAGTTATGTGATTGCCGACTTTCACCGTCGATATGTAGTCATCCACAAAGATCTGCACTGCTCCCACAAAATGCTCCTAAATATGTAGATTATTTTAATATTATACTATATTTTTTAAAATTAAAAACCTGCAGAAGTAAAAAGAGAGTCATCAATATAGGGTTTGAATTTACTGCGAGGCAAGAACTATAGACGACGTGAGATGCAAATCCTCAAATAGGCAACTATTGCTGCCCAAATGATGCTGTCTGGCCTACCTTAAACATTGAAGGCAAAACAACATTGTGCTCTCTATACCTACTTTACGTGTCAGTTCCGCTTCGCTCGCTCTTTCAGTCAAAAAACGTGCCTTTTCTCAGGGCTTGTGAACAAGATCGACTAAACTTAGAACAGTTAATAACATTGTTTTTGTATCGTATTTGACACAACTGAAGCATGATGAAAGTCCAAAAGCTTTGAAATTAAAATCAGCATTATTCTAGCATCTCAGCTGTACATATTTCGTCGTTTCCCGAACGAAGAAATATAATTCCATTCCAAGGTTGCAAAATTGACTGACGGAATTCAATTTTTACGAGTACATTCCTGTGCAATTTTTGTCCAAAATTGTCTGAGTTTTGTACAAGATTAGAAGATAAACCGGTTAAAAGTTAGAAATGCCTAAGATCCTCCTTATTGTAAAAGTGCAATTTGTGAGGAAACATTTGACAACATCGAAATGGATCACATTTTGCAATAAGGAACCACCATCTCTAGCTCTTCCATGAAAGCACCTTTTTACATAGGAAAACCGTAGGCATATCTGTTATTTCTAAAATGAACCAGAAGTGGTTCCTCATTGCAAAATGTGGTCCGAATGGAGTTACCGTTCTTTCGTGAGGAAAACGCAAATTTTTTATATTTCCCTCACGTGTACTTTAGACATCGATTTCCTAACCTGAGTATCAGCTGATGATGTTCGACCAAGTCCCTTATCTTCTTGTACACGACCTCGTGTCTCTCATCGCCGGTCGCCGAAGACACTGGCGCTGTGAGGAGATCCCCGCTGAGACTCGCGATTTGATGCAAGAGTATTTGAAACTGACCCTGGACGTGGAAGCCCACCAGAGGAACGAACGTGATGAATATGTAGAGGAGAACGGTACAGGACAGAAACAGGGAGATCCCGATGGCGTTTAATATTTCAGGCCACGGCGGTACCGTCTCATCGAACGGGAACCAATTTTTTATCACGTTTTGGTTTTCCGGATACCTGCGGATAGGTGAACGACTGGTGAGCAAAACTTGGTCGAATTGGCCAATCGTCACCTTCCGGCCAAAGTTTCACAAGCGGCAACGTTAGTAAGGGACGTATCAGCAACGTTAAAACTAGAGTCCCTTTATACTGAGAGTCAAGACAATGC